CCTCCTCCTCCTCTCTCCCCCTCCCCTTCCTCTCCTCCTCCTCCTCCTCCTCCTCCTCCTCCTCCTCCTCCGCCTCCTGCTCCTCTCCTCCTCCTCCTCCTCCTCCTCCTCTCTCCGCCTCCGCCGCCGCCTCCGCCTCCTCCTCCTCCTCCCCTCCTCCTCCGCCTCCTCCGCCTCCTCCTCCTCCTCCTCCTCTCCCGCCGCCTCCGCCTCAGCCTCCGCCTCCTCCGCCTCCTCCTCCTCCTCCTCCTCCTCCTCCTCCCCTCCTCCGCCTCCTCTCCTTCCGCCTCCTCCTCCTCCTCTTCCTCCTCCTCCTCCTCTCCTCCCTCCTCTCCTCCTCCTCCTCCTCCTCCTCCTCCTCCTCCTCCTCCTCCTCCTCCTCCTCCTCCTCCTCCTCCTCCTCCTCCTCCTCCTCCTGCTCCTGCTTCTCCTCATCCTCCCCCACCTCCTCCGAAAGGTACCCATGCCGGGCAGGATCTCGGAGGAGGAAAGGGTGCAGTCGGACCCAGGCCAAAAGAACAACCTTCAAGAACATGAGACCGTTCTCTGACCAAAGCCCCCGAGACCCTGAAATCAGTCGAGGGCACCCCGATGCTCAAGAACATCCAACAAGCACGGAGAGCGTAAAGGTACCCTCCCCGAGCCGACCTCGATCTTACACCTCGGCCCGACTGTACCCATACCGATGCCTGTCCCGTCGTTTTCGACATTTCGGGCCTGCATGGAGGCCATCGTCGCCACCGCTGCATTCGCCTCAAAATCCTGGGCAGAACGACCCCAGGAGAGGTCCGTGGAGTAGTAGTATCGGTGCCTTTGGGTTTCCCCAGCATCAGTCAGCATTGAATCGGCACATCGGATCGCATCGACACGTGCATCGGATCGGGCTGCGTCGGCACAGAATCGAGATCAGATCGGATCGGCTGCGCCAGGATGCAAAGCAGCACCATGCAAACATCGGGCCGCATCGGATCGTCAAAATGTCGGAATCGGATCGGATCGGACCAGCCAGAATCGACATCTAATCGGATCGATGGGATCGACATGGGCCCTGGTTGGGGGGTCGAGTGCCGTGGGAGTTGGGGGTGCTGCGGGGGATGATGCGGATCGTGCGGAGACGACGTCCAAAGCTCCGTTGGGAGACGTAAGACTCGGGTACGGGGGACTCGGGTTGGCCTGAGGGGGCCATCATACAAATGACGAGACCCAATCTGAAATTTGACGCGACATCCCGCTGCAGACATCCCACGAAAACTGGACCGTCAAAATCCAAGACGCGCTCGTCAAAAAACGTCGGCAAACCCTTTTGGTGCTCTCCGCCGCCTCTGGCGGTGCGCGTTGCGAGCAAGAACACAGCAAAGCCACAGCAAGGCGCGGCACTGACAGTGTAGCTCTGCACTGTCAGTGCCGCGCTCTCCTGTGGCCTTGCTGCATTCCTGCTCGCAACGCACGCCGCCAGAGGCGGCGGAGAGCTTAAGAGATCCGCCTGCCAAGAGTTCCGGCCTACTCTTAAGTCGGCCCTGTCCCTCTACAGGAGGAATGTTCAAAGATAGTCCACAAATAGTCTGGGGACGATTTCTTGAGCATGCTCTGACCATTCTGGGGAATTCTGTTTTATGTTTTACTTGTCGTCCAAAGTCTCCCTGTAGGAGGACATGCCCGACCGAAGCCTACCCGAGTCTCACGCTGCGCCGAGCCGTGGAGCGGAGCACCCCCCGTGGGGTCTCGAGACGGCCCGCGGGGCGGCGGCGGCGCGAGGCCCGGCGCCGCCCCCCCGCCCGAGGAACCCGCGGGGGGAGGGGAGGCCGGGGGCTTCGGCTTGGGGCTATCGGACCAGGCTTGGGAGGAGGAGGGGAGGGAGGGGGGGAGGGAGGAGGAGGAGGAGGAGGAAGGAGGAGGAGGAGGAGGAGGAGGAGGAGGAGGAGGAGGAGGAGGAGGAGGAGGAGGAGGAGGAGCGTCCCCGCGGCCCGCGCGTCGCCTGCGCGCCCGCGCCCGCGGGCCGGGGCCCGCAGGCGCCGCCCGCCGCGGCGGGGCCGCGCGGCCCTCGCGCCGGCTTCGGGGTGACAGCAAAGGAGGGCGTTTGAGAATCAGCTCACGTGGCCGATTTTCCCGGCGCCTCCCGGCGGCGGCAGGCGGCCATGCATCGAGGAATGGGCCCCGCGGCGGGGCCGAGACCAGCCGCACGCGGCAGACTTCGTAACCCCCCCTTTCCCAATCCCCTCCTTTCGTCCGGCCCGAGGTTGGGTCGGGCATGTCCTCCCACAGGGGGATTTTGGACGAAAATTTAAAGATCATCAAAAAATACCCCAGAATGGTCAAACAAATATTACAGAAATCGTCCCCATTGTATTTTTGGATTATTTTTTGGATACTCCTCCTGTAGTGGGACAGGCACGACTTAAGTTTGGGGTGCTGGGCTCCGCACGGGAGCATCAGAGGATGCCCCTGGCAGAAGGAAAACAAAAACACATCAGCATAAACTGTTGGCGCTCCGCGCGGATTTCTGGGACTCGCGCTGGGCCTCCCTTCCTGGCGCGCGAAGCGCGCCAGGGGCGGCGCCGGAGGCGCCGCCTGGGGGCCGACGCGCGGAGCCCAGCACCCCAAACTTAAGTCGGGCCTGTCCCACTACAGGAGGAATATCCAAAAAAATAATCCAAAAATGCTATGGGGACGATAAGTGTATATTGATGTGGTTTTTTCCTTCTTCGACCGAGACGAGGAGGGAGAGGAGAGGAGCGAAGGCCGCCCGATGGGCCCGATCGGGGAAGGGCCCGCGCCCCACGCTGCGGGGAGAGAGGGGGCGGAAGCGGACGAGGATCACTGACCGAACTGCCAGGTCTGCGAGCGGGCCGCCTTCGAAGAGTCCCTGTGCCGAGGAGGGATCGCCAAGGGGTGGCACCTGTCGCCTGGGGAAGCCCCAACTCGCAGCCTGTTGATGTGAGTTGCTAACGAGGGCGCGCCACGGGCAGCAATCCACACTGAGACTGTGCAGGAGTGGCGCGATGCACCGGGCAGTGATGGGGACGGGAAGCGCGGGGGGGCAAGGGGGAGAGGGGGAGGTGGCAAGCTAGGTGCACTCGCGCCTCATCTAACACCCACCCTTTCCCTCCTTCCCATCCCTTCCCATGGCGCTGACTTTTCTCTGACCACCGACGCGTGTCACAGCCGACCTGCGACTCCACAGAAAGACCACTTCGTTTTATGTGCAATCGGAGGAAGGGGAGCTGCGTGCACAGGAGGAGAGGGAGGAGGAGGAGGAGGAGGAGGAGGAGGAGGAGGAGGAGGAGGAGGAGGTGGTAGGTGAGCAGGAGGATGAGCGGGAGGAAAAGGATGTGGACGAATAGCAGCAGCAGGAACTAAAGCGGACCGATCGGGAGGTAAAGGAGGACCAGGAGAAGGCGAAGGAGGGAATTTGAGGGGGACGACAACAATGAAGACAGACTCGGATTCAGAAAAGCGGCCCGCGCTCGGGCAAGACGAACAGCAGCAACAGGAACTGGAGTGGAAGGAGCAGGAGGAACAGCAGGACCAGGGGAAGGCGGAGGATGGGGAAATGAGGGGGACCACAATGAAGCAAGACTCGGATCCAGAGAACTGGCCCGCGCTGGGAGGAGAGCGCCATTCTGAACGACGGGAGCAAAGCGCCGATCCAAAACTTAGGCCCTCGCTGCAGCGAGAGCACCATTTTGAAACACCGACAGCAATCGGATTGCAATAACCGACATAAGAAAAAACAGTTTCTGGAGGAAAAAACAACACGCGGAGGTGCGGGAGATCTTCTAGACAACTTCAGGGAAGGAGGGAGACTAGTAGTCATATGGATTATGTGTAAACAGGGGGCCGGAAGGGGACGAGGGGACGGAGAGGAGGGGGAGAAGAGGCGGCAGGGGAAGCGGGAGGGGGACAAGGGGAAGAGGGAGGAGGGGGCGGGAAGGGTGGGGGGGGGGGCGGAGAGGGGGGGAGGCAAGCTAGGTGCGCTCGCGCCTCATCTGACATCCTACCCCTCCCTCCCACCCCTTCCCACCTCCCTCCTACCCCTTCCAAGTGCGCTATGTTTGTCTTCATCCGCGGACGCGTGTCATAGCCGACCTTGAAATCCAAAAACGACCCCAACGTGCTATGCGCAATCGAAATAGGGGAACAGCGTACATACAACGGGGGGCAGGAGGTGGCGGGCGAGCAGGAGGATGAGCGGGAGGAACAGGAGGATGATGAGGGAGGAAGACGAGGACGAACAGCAACAGCAGCAGGAACTGGAGTGGAAGGAGCGGGAAGAGCAGGAGGACCAGGGGAAGGCCGAGGTCGGGAAATAAGTGGGACGACAACGATTAGGAAGGACTCGGATCCAGAGAAGTGGCCCGCGATGGGACGAGAGCGCCATTCTGAACGACGGGAGCACATCGCCGATCTGAAAATGAGGCCCACGCTGCAGCAGGAGCACCATTGTGAAACACGGAAAACTCTCGGATTCTAGACCTCACACACAGGATCCTGCGTCCCAGAAGAGCAATACGCGGAGAGGGTCCAAGATCGTCCGCACACAGTCAGGGAAGAGAGGAGAGTAGTATTCGAGAGAGAGAGAGAGAGAACAAAAACAAAGAGAAAGAGAGTGATAGGGAGGGATGGAGAGGGAGGCATGGGGAGGGAGAGGGAGGAAGGGAGGCAGAGCTCTGGAGCCTCTGCCGCGGCGAAGCGCAGCCCAGCGCGGCCCGCTTATGGACTCGCCTGTTCCCCGCGGGGGGCTGCAACACTGCAGGGGGTGCGCCAAGGCACAGTACCTCCCGTGGACGCTGCGTGAACCGCAGCCCCTCTGCATCGTCTGCAGCGGCCGAGAGAGGGGTAGCGAATCAGCAGCATGCACTTTTCCACCAATGCATCGAGGAGAGTGCCAAGCGGCAGGGCCGAAGCCAGCTGCATGCAGCAGATGTCGACCCCCCCCCCTTCCCACTCCCACCCCTGTCGTCTGACCTGAATCGCTGGGCGCTCCCTTCAAAATAAGTGCGCTAGTCCCGACCTGTGACCGAAACCTCCAACCCCACCGCCACCATCGCTGACAACTGCAAACGAGCACCATAACAGCATGGCTGCACAGGACTATGTGCATAACAATCCTGCCTACTGAGCGTTGCCTCACGCACGCTACTTCTAGGGCTTCAGTGATCAGCACCTCGCAGGTCGAGCAGGTTGCCCGCCGTTCATTTGGATAGTATGTCAGTCACGCCTCGGACTACAGAACACAGCGACATACCTGACCGATACATACGTACACACAGGCGTGCAATGACGCTTCGCACCATGCACCTTTGTCCTTTAGGCTTCGCGTGCAGATTAGATGAGAAAAAAGAGACAGAGCGGTATGGTGAAAAAGAATATGATGAGACATTTGAACGTCTCCTTGTCTCCGTGTTCGTTCTCGTCGTTCTCCTCTGTCCCGTCCTTCACCCTGCTATCATACTATCATTCCCATTCTCGTTCTGGCCCTTCCCTGCGAACCCTTCACAACCTTCATTCTCGCGTCTCTTGCGAAGGCTCATCCTTCTCGGGTCTCTCGGGGGCTTCCCGAAAGCTTAATGCGGCTTCTTTGAGCGCGTTTTGGGGACCACTGGGAGTTTCTTGGGGGCACACTGTTGCCAACCATGGCCTCCCTCAACGACTGGGCCACGACTTGGAATGCTGTCGGCTTCGTAGTACGCTGGTCTTGGACCGTCTTGAGGTCAACATATGCGGATCGTGGACCGTCTTGAGGACATATTGGGCCTTCCATTGAACTTCCCAGACCGCTCCGATGGCCTTTTTGAGCCCGCTGCGAAAACATGCGCAAAGAAACTCACCGTAGTAGCATGTGTTTGACGTGCCAGGGGGCTCCTGGACAGCTCCTTTGGGGGCACCGCAGGCACATGTTGAGACTATTGGAAAATATGACCGGTCTTGAGATAGTGTGTGGGCCTCCTGGAATATTACTGCTCCCAGTCGCACCATGGAGGAGTGCTACCCCAGGAAGTGGCACCAGGGTGGTCCCCATATAGGGAAGGTATCGGCAGGCTGGTCTACACTTGGATGTGTGCGTGCGCTTGCCTGCTTACGCGTATGACTCAAAACTCTTCGCGAGGCGTGGCTGCAGATGGCCGGCTCAGCGCCCCGTGGGCCCGTGGAGCCCTCTGCAGCGGCCACTGCACTGCCCGTCGCTCAACACTCCCCTGGCTTGCCAGGCCGGCTGCTCCATTCCCCCGCTCGCCCCCGCAGCCCGCTAAGCTGGCGGCCCACGGCTGCGCCCGGGGCCGCGCCGAGACCAGCCGCACCGAGCCGGCCGCCGAGCCCGGCGCCGCCGGCGCTACTGCCGGCAACGCCCGCCCGAGCGCCGAGCCCGCCGCCACCGAGGCCAGCCCCACCAAGCCCCGCGGCACCAGGGCCGGCGCCGAGCCCCTCACCTCCGAGCCCGCCGCCGCCAATGCCACCGCTCCGGAGCCCCCCGCCGCCGAGGCCGCCACTGCAGAGGGCGCCACTACCGAGCCCACTGCCGCCGCCGAGCCCGCCACCGCCAAGCCCGCCGCCGCCGCCAAGCCTCGCACCGCCGAGGCCGCCGCCTCCGAGCCCGCCGCCGCCGCCGCCGAGGCCCGCGCCGCCGAGTCCACCGCCGCCGAGGCCGCCGCCGCCGAGGCCGCCGCCGCCGAGGCCGCCGCCGCCGAGGCCGCCGCTGCCAGCAAGGCCTGCACCCGGACCAGCGCCGCCCGCAAAGGTGGGCAGCGGGCTGCCTGAGCGGGGCGGCGGCGGGGGCTGGGGGCCTGCGAACCCCAGGTCGGCGATGCCGGCTGGTCGGCGGGGCAGGGGGAGAGGCGACCCAGGAGGCGTGCAGGGAAGCTCTGCCCCGATCGGCTCGCGCTCGTGCCAGGACGGCCACAAAGCTGGGGCTGCCGCTGCTCAGGAAAGACTCTTGGGACAGGGCACGCCTGAGCAGCCTCAAAGCGAGAAGAGTGAACTCCTGTGTCCTCCGTCCTCCCTCTTTATTCCCCCTGGTCAACCACCGACCAAGAACCGAGAGCGGGCACACGCTGCCTGGAGCTGGTCAGGCTGGGCCGCACTGGTCGCCCCCGGAGGCCCCTGATGGCTCGGCTCAGGCCTTCATTCCTCCTCGCGAGCAGGCAGTCGTTAACATCGTCGCAGACGAAACTTGCGAACCTTCCTCGCCCTCCTCCTCGTCTCCCCCTGTGACTCCCGTCCAAGGGATGACTCATGTCCAAGGGGGGCAGCTGGGGCCTCGTCCCCCTAGAGCTCTCGCGCCGCGGGTCCCGGGTGCAGCTCGCCCCCCCCCCCGAGGCCGTTCGCAGGGCCCCCCGAGTGCGAACTCGAGGATCAACGGGGGGGACACAACAGGGAACAGGAGGAGGGGAAAGAGAGAGAGAGAGAGGGAGAGTCGAGCCGAAGCGTCGCTTCAATAGACTGGAATCTCTCGGCGGCAGCTCGGGAGACCGGCACTCCTTCTGACAAGCCTTCGACTGCTCGCACAGAATCGCGTGAGGCCCAAGGAGCGTTCGAGGTTGCCTCTGGACCACGAGAACCCTCTGAAGCCCTCGTGAGCTCTGGAGCAGTCCCTGCTGGGGGAGTGCGGTGAAGGGGCGAGGGAGGCGGAAGGCGTACCCGACCCATGGTGTCTAGAAGCAGCGTTCCTCGGCCGCAGCGACAACACCAAACCACGTCTGGGCGCGGCGTCGTGAAGAAATCACCACGGGCGCTACTGCCCCGCCTCGGGGCACCAGAGGGCCATCACATATTCATCCGCTTCGGAGCATCACATGAGAAGGTGAGGTCGGGAGGAACTGTGGCTGTACTTTTTCGGGGAGAGGCGGTCGGCGGTCGGTCGAGACGACAAGAACGGCTGCCGCCCGAGAGAGGGAGGAACAAAGCAAAAAAAAATGCTTGACCGCGAGGAGCGCGCCGCGCGAGCGCTGATCCTAAAAGGGGCTATCCTCCCGCCGGGTGGGCCGGGCCTACACGGCGCCATCCTTGCCAGCGGGGCAGCTCGTGAACGCCGTGCAGACGGAGACGTGGGTCAAGCTGAGCCACCTGCCACTGCCTCTGGCAACCTCCACGTCTCAGAGCTCTCGGCGAGCCCGGACCCGCGCAGCAGCAGGCGCTCCAGCTTCTCCACCCAGGCCCCCGCGGAGCCTGCGCGACCCCAGCAGCCACACAGCAGCGGCGCAAGGCCACCGCCGACCTCCGCCCCTTCGCCGCCGCGCCGCGGCCCGAGCCCGCCCGCAGCCGCCGCAGCCCGCGCGCCACGGACGAGGCCCTCGGCCGTCCTTGAGCTCCTCGCGCCCCTGCTTCCTGGCCCGCGGAGTGGGCTTCTGGACCCAAGGGCAGCGCACTCACAACGACTGCCTGCCCTGGACAACGCCTGCGTCGTGAGCTGTGCGCCCAGGGGCGCAGGCCATCGTAGGCCTTGCGATGGCCTGCGCCCCTGACCCAGGCCGGAAGGGACAACAGGGCGGGCCGAAGCCCCCGACCCAGACCGCAGGGGACAACAGGCCTCTGCTGGCCGCACGCGGCCGCACGCGGCCCGCGGCACGGCCCACAGCGAGCCTCCCCCGGAGGGGCTGCACGGCAGGCCCCGCCGCCTGGGTGGCTGGTCCGGCCGCGGCCCGCACCTCTGCTGAGCAGGGACCGACCGTCCCGGCATTCCTACAGTCCTACCACGAAATGTTCTTAGAACCCAAAGATGTTCCAAGAACAAAAGCAATATTCTTAGAACATAAACCCGATGTGATTAAACAAAGCAGTCCCAGCCAGAAATGTTCTAAGAACATGTCCTTGAAACCGCAAAAGGTTCCTAGAATATTCTTTGGTAGGCCTATAGGCGAGCCAGGACGCTTCGCCACTGCTTGACTCTGGGGGGCAAGCGGCCTTCTGTCTCAAATGGGCAGCATCTGCGGCGGCCTTCGGCAGCGAGTCCTGTCCAATTGGACAGGACTTACTGTCGCTCTTCGTGCAGCCAATCCAATCAACTTTCTGATTGAGCGCGTGGGTGTAAAACCGATGTGATAAAACAAATCAGACTCCGCCAGAAATGTTCTAAGAACATTTCTCGTGGAGACCACAAAAGGGTTCTCAGACCATTCTTTGGTAGGCCTATAGGCGAGCCAGGACGCTTCGCCACTGCTTGACTCTGGGGAGCCGGGGGGTGGGGGGGGATGGCCCGCAGGCTGGCGCGTTCCGCTCGGCGGGCCGCCAGGCGGCACCCGACAGCCACGGGCCGCAAGCAGGCTCTGTAGCCAGGCCCGCGGGGCGGGCAGCCTTCCACGAGTGCCGGGAGGGAGCCAGCCTCGGGGCCTTCCTCGGGAGCGACCAAGAGGGGGGTGTCCAAGAGGGGGGGGTGCAAATCATGACCGGCGGGATGTGCGCGGCCCAGCGGGGGGGCCAGGGACGTAATGAAATGAGAAGAGGCGCCATGAAATCTGGGGAAATATCATGGCCCCCGCCATGATATCCACCCCCCCCTAGTCATCACCCCCCTCTTTTCCGCCCCTGACTTCCAGCCTCGCCGCGAGCGGCGACGCCCGTCCGCGGGCGGGCTTTGGCCGGGATGGCTCCGGATCGTCCACGTCTGCTTTCGGGCGGGAGGGGTCTGGGGGACGGGGGGTGAACACGTCGCCTGCACGTCGCTGGCAGCTTCGTGCTCTTCGACGATCCTCTTACTGCGCCAGCGAGGGAGGATCTGCTGTGCAAGCGAGACCCACCAACAACGCGACATAGAAATGCATGTGCTTCGCCTCCCAATGCTCCCTCAAGTATTCCCTGTTCTCCTGGTATTCAAATCATCGTTCGGCCTCTTCCTAAACTCCCACGCACATATTCGCCTTCTGTGTGGGCCCCTCGTCAAGACTCCATGTGGCCTCCGACTGGTCCCTGGGCATCGTGTCTCGGGTGACGCCTGCTCGTCCTGGTCCCAAACCTGCCATGTTGGGTGTCCGTTCCATGAGTACCTGCGTGGCCCCCAGCGCTGTCCAATTTGGGCCTGATTTGGACTGGACATTAAACACATTTGGGGCCCGATTTGGACCCGATTTGGACCAGATTCGCCCCTTCACGTGGGAGACAAAAAGAACGCGGAAGGGAAGGGGAAACAGGAAGGGCGAGGAGGAGCTGGAGGAAGGGCCAAAGGCACTACAAATGGCCGAGAGAACTGATCTCGACTTCGCTGTTCAAGGCTCCCACGAACGAACGGCGAAGCGACATGCACCGAGCAGTGCTCTCTCTGGGGTGGCCCTCTTGTGAGAGGGGGCTGGCCTGCGAGGCCTCCCGCCATGGCTCCGAGCCCTGCCGCGGCCGCACCAGCGCCAGGGAAGACGCCCGTCTGCAGGGCCTCTCGTGGCACCGGGGCGAAGCAACGGAAAATGCTCGCGCTGGCAATAAAGCGACGAAGAGGAAAAGGTCCAACGCGAGATGGCATAGCGACCTTGCGCCGCAGCTTGCGCGGGCCTCCAGCGCGGCACGCCACGCTGGAAGCGAGGGCGCATTTTTCGCGCGACCCTACGCGCGGGCCGCTTGCGCGCCAATGCCGGCACAGTCGAACCCGTTCTACTGCGTCGCCCAATCGTCGCGAGATTGTACAGACAGCTGGAAGCAGGAGAAGCAAACACGAAGCAACCAGTAAAGCATTGGCAAGGGTACCAAATACGGATCGAAGGCGTGAAGGACAGGGGCAAAAACACCCGAGGACATGACGAGTGGTTCGATTCTATGGTGCATGATCGGCCGAAGAAATCCTGACGACACAAACGACAACATCTCCTAAAACTCAGGCTCCTTCTGCCAGCTGCCGTCAAGCTTCAGCCCAGCCTCTGGGCAAGTTGTCGGATTGATTGGTGGAGGGGCGGAAGGGACACCGGGACGCGCTGTTGGAGTGACGACCATCAGATCCTACACGACATCGCATTGGCTCCCGCCAAACCTTAAGCGCAACACTGTGCAATTCTGAAGAACCTGGGCTCTCGTTCGCAAGGAGGTATTGACGAAGGCGCGCGCGTCGAGCAGAGACCACATGTCCGACCCATCGATGTACAGACAAACGTACCTACTTGTACATGTGTGTACATTCACATGTATATACGCAACCGTGCCTTCAGCAGGTAGTGGAGTGCCCCAAAGCTAAATCAGTTGCGCATCGTAGACGGGGGATCGAACTCTAATGGGCCCTGCACCCCCCTGTGCCAAAAGCTCTTGGGAGTGTCGGCACGCGCTGGGTAAGCTCCTGGGGCACAACAGCGAATTAGAGCGCCCCAAGACGGGCTACCAGGGCCTGAAGGCGGTCCAAGAGGGCCCCGAGTGGGCCAAAAGAGCGCTCCGAGATGCCCAAGATGGCCGAAGACGGCCCCCAAGAGGCCTCCACGCTGCCCCAAAAGAGCGCAAGGAGTCCCATGAAGGGCCCCGAGATGCTAAGCGCAGTGGTCTTCGCTGTAGGTGCTGGACGGATTCTCGCGTTCTCGCATGTTCGGGTCTCCTGACGCTCCAAGACGGCCCGAGAGGCCCCCAAGTCCGCCGCAAGACGGCCCAACAGGCCCCCAAGAGGCCCCCCAGGGGCCCAAGACGGGCCATCAGACCTGCGAGACGGCCCAAGAGGGCCCCAGGATGAGCCCAAGACGGGGAACGCGAACCGACACTTTCAGCCCTCCACCCCAAGATGGTCTCTGAGACCGCCAGCAGGCCCCCGAGAGGCCACCCAGAGCCCCAGGAGGCCCCCAAGAAGTCTGGGCGTTTCTGGGGTTGGTTGGTTGGGCATCCGGGAGTGGCCCCGCTCAAGATGATCCTAAGAACCCCAAGGTTTGCCAGGAAACGCTCAAGAGCGTCCAAGAGGGCCCCGAGACGGCCCCAGAACGCGCCAAGAAGCCTCAGACCTGTCCAATGCTCCCGAGATGCCTCGCAAGAGCCCCCCACAGGCATACTGGAGGCCCCTTACCTACAACCAAGGCACGGTGGCGGGATGGCCAGAAGGCCACTGGATACCAACCAAAGGCACACATAAAAGTGGCACGTGCGTACCAGCAAATGCTGATAGGGTATACTGATGTGGGGCAGCCACATCGAGCAGAAACTAAAGCTTGAGTTTGGACTGGAGCGGTACCTTCAGCTGACGGGGCATCTGGAGCATGAGCTTGCAGCTTGAGGTGCCAGCCAGAGCCAAAGCTGGAGCTGAAGTTGGAGCAACAGGTGGAGCTGGAGTGACCCGTGGACACTGCGGCATGGTGTTGTTGTTGCAGCTGGGCGCCACGGGAGGTGCATGCGGGCTGGCAACGGAGGCGAAGGTGGGCACGGCCAGAGGAGGGCGTCAAGTGGGCAGACTCATCCCCCTCCCTCGTTCTCTCCCTCCCCTCTGGTCCTTCTCCCGGGCCTTCTGGGTACCTTCTACGAACTCCGACTGCTCCTTGTGGAAGGCTTCCATGTCGGCCGCGTAGGAGCTTGCGTCCTCGTCTTCTGGAGAGACCGCAACTGGGAGTGGCAGGGCAGGGAGACGGAGAGTGGAGAAGAGCAAGAGCAGGACGGGGAGGGGAGGGGGCAGGAGGAGAGCGGGAGGAGGACGAGCAGAGCTTAAGGATGCAAGGCCAGGGGTGAAGTACAGGTGGCCGCTTGGGCAGAGGGTACAGAGCTGAAGATTGCCAGTGGGGAAGGGGCGCAACGTTGAATGGGCTGGGCTGCTTCTCTCTACTGCCTGCAAGGCGACGGGTGGAACACCTTGCGCACCTGGCGCACCAGATGAGCATGGCTCAGTTTTCGCGCATGGCGCACCTGGCCTGCTTCACGCCCACGCCAGCCCAATCCAGCCGAGCCCACCAGAATGTGAATACTAAGAGTAATGATGATAGATGCGCTTGGAAATATAACCAATGGTGCAAGCTTCGCGTGCGCGCTCAAGCGCTCTAGTTGCAGATCGTACGCTTGGGTATCCGCCTGCATTGCAAACTTCGTGCCTTGGGAAGGTGGTCGCGCCCCCCCCCAACGTTGCTCCTCTCCCGCCCTTCCTCCTCCTGTTACGTCTCTGCAACTTATCATCAGTATCACCACCAACATCATCACCAGCATCACCATCATCACCATCAGTACAAGTTGTAGTATTAGTCTTAATATTGGTAGTAGCAGTATTGCTACTATTAGTGTTATAAACAGCATCATCATCATCAGCATCATCATCAGCACCAGTATCATAATCAGCATCATCAGCATCGTCATCATCATCATCGTCGTCGTCATCATTATCAGCAGCATCATCACCTTATCACCGCTTATGTTGCTCAGCTCCTCTCTTCGTCTCGTCATGCTGTTCCACTTTGTCTCCCTCCTGCGAGTCCTTAGTCCTTTCCTCTACTCTTATGTTATTGCCGCTGGAAAGCGAAAGGGGGAGCAATCTGAGTAATTTGCGGTGGAGGGGGAGGATGAGAAGGATGAGGAAGCGGAGGAGGTGATCACAGCAGCGTTGGGGTCTCGGTTGGTCTCATCTGGGGAGCATCTTGGGACCCCCTCGGGGCTTCTTGGGGGGCCCGTCGGCCCTCTTTGGGTCATGTTGGACTACCTGAAGCCGATATTGGCCGTATTGGATATGTCCTAGGTTCAGCAGTTCTCCCCCGAACTCGTTGGGGCCCGCATTGAAGCCCTGATGGAGCCATCCTGGGCTCCCCGAAGCCCGCTGGAGACAGTCGTGGGGCCCTTTGGGGTCGTCTTTGGCTGATCGTCGGGGTCCCTTGGACCGACGTGAGCTCTCTTACAGTAGGCCCGTATCAGAAGGATGCGCGATAAGGATGCGAGGGCCTTGGACGCCCATTTCGAAGCTTCCGGAGCGTGGCGCGGCCAACGAAAGTGGCGAAGGATGGACCGGGGAGGCAAGGCTGCAAGGGTACCCTTGGGAAGGTTGCCCATCCTTGCCTGCGGTAAAGGCACATACCCTTCGAACACGAAACAAACGAAGGTTACCAGTCGGACGCCCGTGGGAGGCACTCTTGAGGCCCTCTCGCGGCCTCTTGGGAGGCGCTTCGACATCCGCGGGGCTACCCTGCCCGTCGTGGCAGCGTCTTGGGGCTGCCGCAGCACCCCCACCGAGATTCTCTTTTGGCCGTTTCGGGATCCCGTGGGGCCCGCTGGCTGCTCTCGTGGGGCCCTCTGGGGCCGCCTCGGGGCGATCTCGGGGGCGCTGGGGCCGTCGTGGGGGCTCTCTTGAGCCCGTGGGAAGGAAAGGGCATTCGTGGGCTCCTCGTCGGGGCCTCTTGGGAGACTATTCGACCCTCTTGGGGCCATCTTGGACCGTCTTGGGGCCAGCTTGGCTTTCGTGCCGTCGGGACGCTCCTCGGGCAGAGGATACCGAAATCGTGCCCACCGCAGGAAGCCAATGGCATCTGCCCGTCATAACCCTCTGGGGCGGCCTCCTGGGGCTCTCTCGGGGCTTCCGGTGCGACCCTCTTGGGGCCACCTCGGGACGATCGCTGCTCCCTTAGAACCGCCGCAGGCCTCTTGAATCCAAGCTGAAAGGCTTCGTGGGGGGCATGTTGGAGTCTCCTACGGCTGCCTTGGGCCCGCCACAGGGTCTCGCGGGGCCTTTCTGGACCGTCTTGGGGCGATCGTGGAGCGCTCTTGAGACGCACATGGCGAAAAAACTAGAAGCGTCCCGAAATCAATGGAATATCAAGTCCCACCAGCCATTTCGAGTGCGATTGGCTTAGAGCGGATCCTCTTCCGACCCCCTTCTTCCTCTTCGGGGAAGGGTTCATCATCGGCCCCTAGTAGTCAACCTGGACCCATGCGGGCTTCCATGCACCCCCCCCTCCCAGTCAAACAGCTATACAACATACACTTTCCCTCTCAAATCTGAAGCATGCGCGGGCGCCCCGCGACCTCTTTGCATGGTGTTTGACAGGGACCGCGGGGGTGCCCTCATATTGCTTGCTTCGCGCAGGCCGACACCCCCCCAACATCCCTTGCCAAAAACAATACAAAGTGCACTTTGCATCAGAAATCTTGATCAAGCGCGGACGCCCTGCGATCATTTTGCAGCGATTTTGAAAGGGACGGCGGGGAGGGGGCAGCATATCGCCTGCTGTGTGCAATGCCGACCCCCCCCCCCCGACAAACCCTTGCAAACAACAATGCAGCATGCACTTTACACCAAAATCTGGATCATGCGCGGACGCCTCGAGCTCAGATTGGATTGGTTGTTGACAGGGATGGCGAGGGTGCCGGCATATTGCCTGCTGTGTGCAGGCCCACAATCCATTCCAACCTAGTGAGCGTGTCGCAGCTGCACGTGCGGCGCACATCGCGGGCTTTGCGCACCCAGCTGGCGTCTGCATTGGTTCCCGATGGTTGTCAGTGGCGGCCCCTGTCCATGCCGAGGGCGGGCGGAAATGAGCGACACAGCTTGTTGCTTGTGGGTAGCTTGACCCATCCCCGCCCCCCCTCCCCTGGACCTGGACGGGGGGGGCGCGGGTCGTTGGAGCGTCCAAGATGGCCTCGGCTAGAAAGCAACAGGCATTGATGTTCCAAGGGTGTTGGGCCGATTCGGGTCTCCTGGGGGGGGGGAGGGGGGGGGAACACTGGGGAGCCCCCCACCCTTTTTTGATCGAACTCCTCCACGGTGGCCCCAAGATAGCCCCAAGGCTCCCAAGAGTGCCCTCCCAAGAGTGCCCCAAGAAGTCCCAAGAGGCGCCCCCGAGGCACCCAAGACGCTCCAAGAGGGCCTCGGGGTCGCCAGGACGCCCCCCAAGACGCTCAAAGAGGACTGCAAGAAGCTCTCAAGAGACATCCGACAAAAGGTATCTGGCCTTTCTGTTCGCCCCCGTCCTTCTCCACCTCTGCCTCCTCCTCGACCTCCTCGGCCTCTTCCTCCTCCTCCTCCTCCTCCTCCTCCTCCTCCTCCTCCTCCTCCTCCTCCTCCTCTTCCTCCACCCCTCCTCCTCCTTCTCCTCCTCCTCCTTTCTCCTTCTCCTCCTCCTCTCCTCCTCCTCCTCCTCTCCTCCCTCCTCCTCCTCTCTTCCTCTTCCTCCTCCTTCTTCTCCTCCTCCTCCTCCTCCTCTTCCTCCTCTTCCTCCTCCTCCTCCTCCTCCTCCTCCTACTCCCTCCCCTCCCCCTTCCCCAACCCCCCCCCTCCCCTCCCCCTCCTCTCCATCTCCCTTCCCCTCCCCCTCCCCCTCCCCCTCCTCCTCCCACTCTTCCTCCTCCTCCTCCTCATCCTCATCCTCCTCCTCCTCCTCCTCCTCCTCATCCTCCTCCTCCTCAATCTCCTCCTCGTCCTCCTCCTCCTCCTCCTCCTCCTCCTCCTCCTCCGCCTCCTCATCTTATTCCTCCTCCTCCTCCTCCTCTTTCTCCTCCTCGCTCTCTTCCTCATCCTCCTTTTCCTCCTACTCATCCTCTTCCTCCTCTTTCTCTGATCATCGACATCATCAGCATCAGCATCATCATAATCATCATCATCATCATCATCATCATCATCATCATCATCATCATCATCATCATCATCATCACCAGCATCATCACCACCATCATCATCATTACCATCAGCAGCAACATCATCAGCATCATCAGCATCCTCATCCGCATTATCATCAGCACCATCATCAGCATCCTCGGCATCATCATCACCAGTATCATCATCATCAGCAGCATCAGCCTCGCCATCATCATCATCATCATCATCATCATCATCATCAGCAGCAGCAGCAGCATCGTCATCATCATCATCAGCATCATCACCACCATCATCATCATCATCATCAGAATCAGCATCAGCATCATCATAATAATAATAAAGATAATAATAATCATCATCAGCATCATCATCATCATCATCATCATCATCATCATTATCATCCTCATCCTCATCCTCATCGTCCTCCTTCTCGTCCTACTCCTCCTCCTCCTCCTCCGTCCCCTCCACCTCTTCTCGTGAATATTAAGTTTAACAATCTTAGTATGAGTAGTAGTCGTCTTATTATCAGCCGTGTTCTTCGTGCCATGGTCCTTTGTAATCGTAATGTTTGTCTTAGTAGTGGTCTTATTCTTAGTCTTATGAGTATTGTAGTATCATTACTATCATTCTCCGTATTATGATTACTGGTATTATACTTCGTATTGTCTCTTATTAATAGTAGTAGAATAATTATTTGTCGTATTATCTTCCTCCTCCTCCTCCGACGACGACGACGGCGACGACGACAACGACGACGGCGAAGACGGCGACGAATCCTGCTCCATCCTGCCCCTCTTGAGGTATGACGGCTTCCTCGACCCGTTCTTTCGCTGCATGCCCCTCCACATCCCTGGCCAGGGCAACTCGCCCAGGCATTGTGTTTGGGTAAGCTGGTGGGGTTACGCGACGCATCTAGAATAGGTTTGCCTGCCAGGGGCCACTGGAGCGCCCTCCTGGGACCCTCTCGGAACTTCCTGGAAGCTTCTTCTACGCTTTGGACGGCATTCCGCGCTCACTCTGCCCTGGCCGCCGTGCCTTGAAAATCCGCGGCATGCGGCAGAGTGCGCTCGAAAAGTGGCACTGCTTAGCGCTCTCACTGCGGCGCTGCGATCTTGAAAGCGAGGAGCCCCAGCAACACAGCGCTGACCACGGCCCAGAAGGACTCGGACTGCTTTGCCTCCGCGACGTCCTTTGGATCCGCGACCTTCGAATGTGTGTGTGCACTTTCTGTCACTCTGCTCCGGCCGCTGTGCCTTGGGAATCCGCGGCATGCAAAACTGCGCTCGAAAATTATCGCAGCTGAACGCTCTCACTGCGGCGCTGCGACCTTGAAAGCGAGGAGGCCCAGAAACACAGCGCGGACCAAGGCCCAGAAGGACTCCGACTTCTTTGTCTCGGCGACGTCCTTGGGATCCTTGATCTTGTAAGCGGGGGGCTTGCCTCCAGCCCCGCCTGAAGGGTCGAAGAAGTTCTGGCTCACCGACACATCGCGCGTGGAGCCGCGCAGGGTCGTGGAGGGGCTGCCCACAAATCCACAAAACATGGACGTGAGAGTCGAGGCGACCGCGACCACGATCAGCGCGGCAATCAGGCGAGCCATCCCGGTCGACGGACGAGGCACCGCCCAGGGGCGAGAGCGGAACAACTGCCAAACAGCCCGTGCTCGAAAACTACTCAAACCAAAGTGACTTGAGCCAAAATGGGCACGGCAGGGCCATGTTGGCCAATGTTGGAGCTGTCTTGGCTGTCTTCGAAGCGTCAAGGGGCTCCAGCAGTCCCTCCAAGGCCTGTCGCGAGCACACAACTTGGAGCCCCCGGCTCCAGGACCTGGCCCAGGGACCCTAGTCTGCCCATGAGGATAGCAGTCCCAGCTCTGAACCCCGCCCCCGTCCACCCCGCATTATGTGTATATGGGTGTACGCACGTGTGTGTATGTATGTTTTGGCAATGTATGCAGATGTGAAGAGATGTGTGACGAATTCGTATGTGTGCGTATGCATGCGTGCATATGTACGTATGTACGTCTGCATGCATGTATGTGTGTAGGTGGGTGGGTGGTGGGCGGGTGGGTGGGTGGGTGGGTGGGCGAGTCGGTGGGTGGGTGGGTAGGTCGGAAGGTAGGTAGGTAAGTTGGTAGGCAGTGGGCGTCCTCGGTGTGGGTGGTAGCTACACGTCGCGGTGCCCGTCGGCAAGACTTCATATCTCCACCCAACCAGCACACTGACATCAAGCTCAGGCGTCATGCGTGAAAGGCAGAGCCAAACAATATCTAAACTGACGGCGCCTGCCAGCGAGGAACTGCAGAATCGTCAAGCACACACCAGCTCCCCAAACACCCGTACTACCACTCCAATCTATTCGGCGCGCAGAGGAAAGAATGTGTCAGCGTTGTCTTCGCAAGTAGGTTTGATCAACATTCGATGATGTGCTGGCATTTCCAAACCCTCACGCATCCCGCAGCTGGAGCAGCACTAACCCGGGAAAAAACTGCGAATGATCCTGTTGCCAGCGTGCCGCAGCTGCCCAACCGTAACGCCCATCCTTTGATTGGCCGAGAACCCTTCGGAACCACAGGCCCAGTCCTGCATGGTCGGGCCACCACGGTGCGCTGGATGAGGCCCCCGAGAAGGAGCCCCGAGGACCACGGGGAGCACCGACGTGATCAGAGGGCCGTGGCCAGCGGACGGCGCACTCCAGGCTGGCCCGAGCCAGGCCCCCAAAGGTGGGGAGTCCCCGCGGTCTGGCGGCGGCGGGACGCAGCACGCAGCTGGCTGGCTGGCCAGGGGTCGGGCGGGGCAGAGGGGGCCAGGGCACAGGTTGGCGATAGGCCAGCAGGAGACGACCACCCCCCCCGACAAGACTCGGTAAAAGTATCAGTTATTGGTGTCTGTGTTTGAGTGGTCGGCGCTGCTCCAATGCTGGCATGAGACAGTTGGCACAGACGCGGAGGTGTCCGAAGTCCAGCACCGTCCTCGCAGCATTGAAGAGCGCGTTTTCTGACAAGTGTCCGAAGTATCGAGCGCCACGAGTTTGAACGGCGTGTCAGTTGATTACTGACAAGGCTTGTAGGGCTTCTGCTGGCGGGGTCCTCCTCCAGCATGGCTTTCGTGCCGTCGCCGGCGATCGTCATGCCCTTCTGCTGGAGCGAGCGGAACCGTAGGTCCAACTGGCCTCCTACCTGCGCCACGTGGTTGAAAACCTGGCCGGGACGCGACACCCCCTTCCTCGGAACTCCTCCTATTAGTTGTGGTGTTCAGCGTCGCGGACTGCACTCACGACTGATACATTGCTTTGCAGACGCGCGAACGATTTTGCAAATATGCTAGTGCGTACGCACGCGCTGCTCGAGCGTATAGCACAAAAAATCCCCAATGCTGGTGATGGTGGTAGCCGAACACTCAGGGAGCGAGATACTGGACATGCTTAGCAGCCGCGGCGACAGCAGTAGCTGAACGGAAGCGCAAGTCGCTTCAAATCGTAAGCGAAGGGTGCAAACATATTAAGCAAATTACGCATTCTGAATTATTTCTTCAATCAACACCTCTCAACAGACTCCCCTCCTGAACATAGGGCTGGACTTGGAATGTCCGAGACTCCCAAAGACTCCTGTGCCGCTCGCCTGAGAAGGCAGCCGGCTCAGCTGCGGTTTGAGGCTCTCGAACACCTGCATCAAGTCCACCACATTCTTGATGACTGCCGAGAGCCGCTGGTCCTGAGCACACCAGCCTGATGCACTCCAGCACCCACGATCGCGTCCGCCTTGTGAAGTGGCATCAGGTGATTGGAGGCGGAGTGCAGAAGTGCTTCCCGGGGCGTTGTGAAAACCGATCATCCCACGATCACTCGCGCGCGGCGAACACTCCACAAGGGCATTTGTAGAATCGTTATGTGGGCTCACCGCGCATCTTGAAGGTGTTCGGTGACCGATGGTCTTTGGTTGACTACCTGCCAGACCACCCCAACCCAACCCGACGACCCGAATTTCGGGTTGGGGGGGGGGTAAGGGTTCCACACGTGTTGTTTCGACGTTTCCCGACCCCCCCCCACTGGAAATCGACGGTAAATCTGAGCCTTCGGGTTGGGTTGGGGTGGTTTGGTGGGTGGTCTTTGGTCGACCCCGAGAGACCGATCGGACGATCGAGTGCTGCTGAGCTCCGGTCTGTGGACGCGGTCACCGGCGCACCTCCCGAGGGCGCAGGCTCCCAGCACCCCTCGTCAGCGCCCTGCGCACGAGGCACAGCGGCAGTCGCCGTGTCCCTCCTGCTCTCGTCGCGTTACGTGGTCTCCACGGGTATCCCTCCGCCCCCATGCGTGATAGCCCGTTCTTTCGTCTATCCGCTCTGTCTCTCCTTCTCCTCTTCTTCTCATTAATATTATTATTTTCAGTATCATTATCATTATTATTGTTGTTATTATTATTATTCCTCCTACTTCTCCTCCTCCGCCTCCTCCTTCGCCTCATCCTCTTCCTTACTTCCACATCGTCCGCTCCGTCGCTTTCCCCCCTCTTCGCTCCCTCTGTCTGCCTCGCCTCTCCCCTCCCCCGCATACACAGACGGCACGACTCGCCCCATCCCACGTCGCTTTCGAGGTCGGCCCATGTCCTCGAAGGCTTGAAAACCGTCACAAGGAACCCAGTGCAACACAGGAATCATAACCATCCGCTGCGTACCCAACCCCTGCTCCACACGAGACGACTATTCATCGGAGGTTGGGGGGTGAGATCGCAGCGGAACGGAGACCCCCAACCGGGAAATCGTTTCGTTTCGTTCGTGCCGTGCGTGCTAGCGAAGCGAACCTGCGTGGGCGCGCGAGAGGAATGAACCCGAAGTCAAGACAAATGATTCTCCCCCGCCCACCCGTCCGGCGGTGGCTCGCGGTGTCCCGCGGTGTCCCGCGGTGTCCCGTGATGTCCCGTGGTGTCCCGTGGTGTCCCGTGGTGTCCGCCGTTGCTCGGGCGAAGTCAAGACAAATGATTCTCCGCCGCCCGCCCGTCCGGCGGTGGCTCGCGGTGTCCCGCGGTGTCCCGTGGTGTCCCGTGGTGTCCCGCCGCTGCTAGGGCGAAGTCAAGACAAATGATTATCCCCCGCCCGCCCGTCCGTCCGTCAGTCCGGCGGTGGCTCGCGGTGTCCCGCGGTGTCCCGTGGTGTCACGTAGTGTCCCGTGGTGTCCCATGGTGTCCCGTTGAATAAGATCGATAGTGAGATCGGTTGCGAAATCGATAGTAATACATCCCCAGGCCGAAAGTTGTTTCCTCTTGCATGGGAACGCATGGACCCATTTGGATCCAATTACGTGTGTGCAAGAATCACATGGATCCAATTTCCGTGTCTTCTGGATCCATTTTTTTGGCGTGGAAGCTTCGTGGATCTAATTCTTTTCCTGAAATTAGTAACAAGAGTAATAATTGATACCAGGGACCCAAGGGGAAATGGATCCAGAGAGCCCTGGACCTGCAGCCCAAGCTATGATTCTACGGGGGAGGGGTTTTCCCACCGAGAGACACAACACACGGGGACGAATAGGGAAACACAAACCAGGGGCGGGCGAAGAGGAAGATGAGGGAGGACGGACGGCGGGCCTGGCCACCCCTCCGAACCCCTCCCATAACATGTCGTTGCTCGAGCGCCACAGCTGCCCCGGCCAACTCCCGCAGCCTCCATAACATGTGGGTGCTCGAGCGCCACAGCGGGCCTGGCCAACTCCCGCAGCCTCCCATAACATATGCCGCACCCCACCTCGACGCGAGCGCGATCTGATCGCTGCGTCCGCATCCGCTAAAGTCAACGACACGTCGCATTTGTCATGTGACCCTCAAGAAGAAAATCTTTCAGCCTGCTCAAGTGGGGTTTTGACCCCCGTCTCCCCCGCCAACGCGTGCAGCGTTGCATGTTACGTGTGCTGTGGGGTTTTGACCCCCGTTTCCCCCGCCAACACGTGCAGCGTTGCATGATACGTGTGCTGTGCCACCACCGCCCCTGTGCTGAAGGGCAGCAGGGGTGCAAAACTCTGCATCTCCAGGCCGACAGTTGTTCCTCTTGCATGGGAGCGCATGGATCCATTTGGACCCAATTACGTGTGTGCAAGAGTCACGTGGATTCAATTCCGGTGTCTTCTGGATCCAATTTTTTGGCGTGGAAGCTTCGTGGATCCAAACCTTTTTCCTGAAATTTAAAAATATAAAGAATTAGAATAATAATACGAATACTAATAATAATAATGGTAATAATAATAATAAGAATGCTGCCAATAATAATAATACTTGATACCAGGGACCCAAGGGGAAATGGACCCAGAGAGTCGTGGACCTGCAGCCCAAGCTATGATTCTACGGGGGAGGGGTTTTCCCACCGAGAGACACAACACACGAAGCTATGATTCTAAGGGGGAGGGGTTTTCCCACCGAGAGACACAACACACGGGGACGAGTAGGGAAACACAAACCAGGGGCGGGCGAAGAGGAAGATGAGGGAGGACGGGCGGCGGGCCTGGCCACCTCTCCGAACCCCTTCCCGTCGTTGCTCGAACGCCACAGCTGCCCTGGCCAACTCCCGCAACCCCCATAACATGTGGGTGATCGAGCGCCACAGCGGGCCTGGCCAACTCCCGCAACCTCCCATAACAGATGCCGCACCCCACCTCGACGCGAGCGCGATCTGATCGCTGCGTCCGCATCCGCTAAAGTCACCGACACGTCGCAATTGTCATGTGGGCCTCAAGAGGAAAATCGCTCAGCCTGCTTAAGTAATGAGATCGTTACTGACATCGATGTGGTGCCCCCATGTGTCCCGTGGTGTCCCAAAGAGTGAAATCGATAGTGAAACCGATAATGAGATCGACAGGTGTCCCTCGGTGCCCCGTTAAGTGAAATCGATGAGGTCGATAATGAGATCGATGTGGCGTCCCGAAATGTCCAGCGGTGTCCCGTGGTGTCCCTTGTTGTCCCGTGGTGCCCCGTTGACTGAAATCGATAATGAGATCGATAGTGAGACCGATGGTGAGGTCGAGAAGTGTCCCGCGGTGTCCCGCATTGTCCCGCGGTGGCCCGTTGACTGAGATCGATAGTGGTATCGATAGTAAAATCGACAAGTGTCCCGTGGTGTCACGTGGTGGCCCGTGGTGTCCCGTTGAGAGTCATCGATTGTGAGATCGATTGGGTCAGATGTTGGTTCCCCCCCCCCACACACACACACACCGCCACACACGCGCGCGCAGCATCCTTATCACCCGAAGGGTGGTCGTATAGGTATACGCGTTCCATGCGAAAGAACACGTCGCGAAGACACTATACTCCGTTGGACGTTCCAGGAGCCCACGAAAGCAGCGACAGCTGCGCAGGTCGCAGCCTCAGCCTCCCAGGGAGCAGCGAGGTCGCACCTACCTACCACCTCCGCTGGACGTACCAGGAGCCCACGAAGGTGGCGGCGGTTGCGCAAGTCGCAGCCTCCTAGGGAGCCGCGATGTCTCGCCTGCCCACCGCCTCCGCTGGGCCACCCAGGAGCCCGCTAACGTGGCGACGGTTGCCATGCATTCTAAGTGACATTGGTAAACAGACTGTCAGATAGGCTGAGCTGGTCCGTCACACCACCTTACTGTCGGGTCGGGCACGTCCTCCTACAGGCGGACCCTGGATGAACAATAGACCAAAGAGCACGAAGCATCGCCCCCTGACTATTTTCAACTACCCTAGAACACTCCTCCTGCAGAGGGACATGCCCGACTTAACCGCGCCCTACCCATACGACCACCCTGCGGGCGATCGGAAGGCCGGGGGGGGGGGAGAGACCAGCAACGGGCAACAGCGGTGATTGTTGCTCTGACGACGCCTGTGGAGATTGTTGCGCTTGGGAGCCTCGGCGTCGAGTTGTTCACGTCGCCCTTCGCTCCTGGGCGCCTTGGCGCCAGCCCCCCCCCCGAGGAACTAAGGAAATAACAAATTATTTCGATGGTTTCGCACGGGCTTGGGGGGCCGGGCCCCCCCAGCCCCTTGTCCTTGAAAAGCTCAACGGCGCCCTTGATGTCCAATGCGATCTGCAGCTCCTTAGCGGGATGCGCCGACGCTTCTGGGCTGGCGGGCGGGTTGGATGGGTTGCAAAGCAAAGCCACCGATTTCAACGGGCCGCCGACGAAGTCCGACTTGGCTCTGGCGTCGAAGCTCGGGTTCCGGAGCTCCCACACGGAGTCCGCCGTGGAGTTTTCTACTGGTTTCGACTGCCGCAATCCGATTCTGGAAACTGAAGGGCACCGCGCCGAGCATGTGCTGCGCAGGCGCGTTGGACACCAAAACGCAACTGAACCTCTGCGCCTCCACTTTTTCCTCGCTGTGAACGTGTAATCAAGGACCATCGGGTCGAGGACCCTCACGCACCACTTGGCGCTGGGCCGTCTGGGCGTTGTTCATGTTCTTCAGCGTCTCCACATTATTGTCGAGCAGCTCGGCTGACAAAGCCCGGCCCCTCGTAGCGAGGCCGAAGGAAGTGCGTGACCGAAGTGGGTGCGTTCGCGGCCCCCCCCCCCCGCGTGCCGAGTGCAACAGAAGCCTTGGGCCAAAATCCCTGAATTGCATGAGAATTGAAAAGGGGGTCTCAACGTCTCACTCAATCGATCTCACAATGGACCCTATTATCGATGCCGCAATCGATCTCACTCGATCGATCACACTATCGATCTCACTCGATCGATCTCACTATCGATCTCACCATCGATCCTACTCGATATGGGAGCTTTGGTGTTCAGAGATAGTTGCGTTTCGGGCTCGCGTTTGGGAACCTTGGTGTCGAGTTGTTTACGTCACCCTTCGCTCTTGGGCGCCTTGGTAACATTTCCCCCCCCCTGGGAACCAACGAAATAATGAATTATTTCGTTCATTTTGCAAGGGCTTGGGGGGCCGTTTGGGCTCGTCTTTTGGACCCCTTGGAGGGCTCTTGGGGGCCTCTTGGGGGGCCTCTTGGGGGCCTCTTGTGAGCCTTTTGGAGTTTCTTGGAGGCCTCTTGGGGCCTCCCGGGAGTTTTGGGAGCAACCCTTAAGAGCCTGTGCCGCCAACGTTCGTATTGGGAGCCTTGGTGTTCAGAGATTGTTGCGTTGCCGCTCGCTCTTGGCACAGCATATAGCACGGGATGTCGATGTGCCTGACGATTTGCATTTGCATTGGCTTATCGATGTGCATGACGATTTGCTTTTCGATCTGCATTTGGATCTGCATCCCACCATCGGTCTCACTATCGATCCCACGATCGATTTCACTATCGACCTTACTCTCGATCTCACTCGATCGATCTCACTATCGGTCTCACTCGATCGATCTCACGAACGATTTAACTCAATCGATCTTACCATAGACCCCAGTATCGCTGTCACTATCGATCCCACAATCGATCTCACCATCGATCTCACTCGATCGATCTCATTATCGATCTCACGATCGATTTCACAATCGATCTCACAATCGATCTCACTATCGGTCTCACTATCGTTTTCGCACCAGCGGGACACTGGGACACAAGCGGGACACCGGCGGGACACCGGCGGGACACCGCGCGGCCCCGTCTGCCGGTCGGGAAACATTTGGTCCGGCCGCGCCTCAGCCACAGGAGACTTACCGGGACACCAGCGGGACACCGGCGGGACACCAGCGGGACACCGCGCGGCCCCGTTTGCCGGAGGGGGAATCATTTGGTCCGGCCGCGCCTCAGCCACAGGAGATTTTCCTCTCGCCCGCCCACGCAGCTTCGCCTCGCACGCACGCACGGCACGCCCAAACACGAAACCGAAACCAATTTCCCGGTGGGGGGTTCTCCGTTCCACTTCGATCTCACACCCCAACAACATCCGATTGCGCAGAGGCTCTCGTGTCGAGGCAGTGGCCTGGGCCACCGCTCACGAGCGCCGCCTGCTCGCGCGATGCTCCCGCGCTCGCTGGCCACCCTATCGAACACAGCAGTTACAGTACACAGCCGAAGGGTGGGCTCCACCAGTGTGGGGAACGAAATGTATCACCCGACTCGGACTCGGAGCCATGTTTCTCCTTCTCCCCCTCCTCCTCCTCCTCCTCCACCTCCTCCTCCTCCGCCTCCGCCTCCTCCTCCTCCGCCTCCGCCTCCCCCTCCGCCTCCTTCTCCTCCTCCTCCGCCTCCTCCTCCTCCTTCTCCTCCTCCTCCTCCTCCGCCTCCTCATCCTCCTCCTCATACCTCTGTGCCCCCCCTCATTACCCTCATCCGCCTCTATCCTCGTAATTACCCCTCCCTCCGAACCTCCTCCTCGTTCTCATCGTCAACCTCGTCGACCGCATCCTTATTACGTGTTTGTCTCTCTCCCTCATCACGTCTCCTCCCTCCCAACCCACGCCTCACGACACGCCCCGCCCCACCGCCAGCCTGCGGAAGGCGCCGCGCCGCTGGGCGGCGCTGCTGCCAGCCCGACCGCCGGCAGCCTGCCAGAACCTTCGGGGGGGGAGGCTCTGGATGAACACAGGAGGATGGAGGAGGGAGGAGGGAGGAGGGAGGGTGAGAGGAAGGAGATGTCGAATCCTGACGGATATTTCCGGCTCGAGGGAGGGAGGAGAGAGAGTCTCAGTCTCGAGGGCACAAGGGCAGAACGTGACGAGTTGTCGGATCGGCTGCCATCTGTTTTGTCTAATACGGTGTTGGGAGAACAGTTTTCGGCTGCTATCTGTGCCACGTCCTGGAAGTTGTCGCAGGCTTCTGGAGAACTGGAGGAGAAGGTACAGGAAGAAGAGGAGGGAGTGGGAGGGAGGAGGAGGAGGAGGAGGAGGAGGAGGAGGAGGAGGAGGAGGGGGAGGAGGAGGAGACAGGCCCGGAAGAGGAAGGACGGAGGAGGGAAGGGACCCCACCCAACAGTCCTGCCCCCCCTGAGACGGAAGACCCAAGCAAGATCAAGACCGCAGAGCCGAGCGACCTCCGAGCCCAGAGGGCGGAAGGTGATCCCGATCGAAACTGGCGTCGCGGCGACCGACGATCGGCGATGCGCAGCCGGGGAGCTCAGCTGGATCGGGGCACCGCCGAGGCCACTGCTGCCGCCCAGGCCGCTGGCGCCACTCAGGCCGCCGGCGGCGCCGCCCAGGCCGCCGCCGCCCAGGCCGCCGCCGCCCAGGCTGCCGCCGCCCAGGCTGCCGCCGCCCAGGCCGCCGCCGCCCAGGCCGCCGCCGCCCAGGCCGCCGCCGCCGCCCAGGCGGGCGCCGCCCAGGCTGGCGCCGCCGCCCAAGCCACCGCCTGTGAGCAGCCAGGAGCCCAGCTCCAACCAACCACTGCATCAAAGTAGCCATCAGTCCAGAAACCCCAGGATTCTTCACGACGAGAGACGTGAAACACCGACCCCCTGCACTCCCTTCCTCCTCGCCCGCCCGCCCGCCCGCCTGCCAGCCCGCCCGCCAGATGTCCTGCGTCTCCCACCCCTCGCTCCATTCAGGGCCCCATAAACCCATACTCGCTAGACAGGGACATGCAACATACCTCGAAACTGGTTTCCCCGACAGCGGCACGAAATCAAGTGCGCCGCAGCACTCCACCAATACAAGCCTGGACAGAACCCTCGAAGCCTGCAGAGCCCCCCCCGCCTAAACCCGGACAAAGCCTGCAGCGCTGCCCAGACATGCACTGTCGGCTACACGTAAGAGTGACCCCAGGCAAGAGTGACCTTTGGTGCGCGATTTTCGGGGGCCGCGGGGGGGAGGCCGAACTGGATCGCGCAAGCCGCTGCTATCGCATCTCGCTCAGCCATCTGGGGACCCCAGTGAGCCCGCACCAAAGGTCACTCTGGCGAAAGGTCACTCTTACGTTTAGCCGACACTGGACGACCAAATCGGACTCTGCAGGACAGGGCGTCGCTTCCCCCCGACTTGCCAGTGCCCTGGCCCTGGCCAGTCCTTGCCCTGGCCCCCGGGGGCCCGCGATGACCTCCTCCTCCTCCTCCTCCTCCTCCTCCTCCTCGTCCTCCTCCTCCTCCATCTCCTCTTTCTCCTCCTCCTCCTTCTCCTCCTCCTCCTCCTCCTTTTCCTCCTCCTCCTCCTGCGCCATGAATTTGTTCATGACGTCGACCCCCCCCAGAGGTCTGAACCCCTCCCCGAGACGGGCCTCTCGTCCCGAGGCGTTCGCGAGGGCCCCGAGGCCCGGTGAGGACCCCCCGAGGCTGAGAAAAGCGAGCAACCTCCCGTCGCGATTTTGTCCTGACTCGGGGGAGTCTGGGGACCCCCACCCCCTTCGGTGGCAACTCATGGGAGCGTCCCATACCATCTTGCCGGCTCTTGCGAATCGACGCTAATCGACGCTAGTCGACGCTAAATCGACGCTGATCGACGACTCCCAGACGCTAATCTACGCTAATCGACGCTGAAGACGGAATTAGGACGGCGTTGAAAGTAGATTGGGTGTCCGCCCGCCCCCTGCAGAGGACGGAAAAGGTGACGCCACACGATCATTGAAGTAGGAAGGCGCTTAAAGTAGATTGGAATCTGGACATCCCAAGATGCCTCCTTTCAACGACCGATGGGTACACCAGGCCCCCGTGACTGCACGGTTTCCCTGGGGGGCGTAGGCGACCCGAGGAGGGGGAGGAGGAGGAGGAGGAGGAGGAGGAGGAGGAGGAGGAGGAGGAGGAGAGGAGGAGGAGGAGGACGACGAGGACGCGGACGAGGACGAGAGGAGGAGGAGGAGGAGGAGAGGAAGGGAGAGGAGGAGAGGAGAAGGAGGAGGCGGGGGGGAGGAGGAGGAGGAGGACAAGCGAGGAGGAGGGGAGGATGAAGGAGAGGAGGAGGAGGAGGACGAGGACGAGAGGAGGGAGGAGGAGGACAAGGAGGAGAAGGAAGGAGGAGGAGGAGGAGGAGGAGGAGGAGGGGAAGGAGGAGGAGGAAGGAGGAGGAGGGCGGAGAGAGGAGGGAGAGAGGAGGAGGAGGAGGAGGAGGAGGAGGAGGAGGAGGAGGAGGAGGAGGAGGAGGAGGAGGAGGAGAGGAGGGAGGAGGAGGAGGAGGAGGAGGAGGATGAGTGAGAGGAGGAGGAGGAGGGTGGAGGAGGGAGGAGGAGGAGGAGGAGGAGGAGGATTTTAGGAGGACGAGGACGAGACGAGGAGGAGGAGGAGGACAAGGTAGGAGAAGGGGGGGGAGGAGGAGGGGAGGAGGAAGGAGGAGGAGGAGGAGGAGGAGGAGGAGGAGGAGGAGGAGGAGGAGGAGGAGGAGGAGGAGAGGAGGGGAATGAGGAGGAGGAGGAGGGAGGAGGGGAGGAGGAGAGGAAGGAGGGAGGAGGAGGAGGAGGAGGAGGAGGAGGGGAGGAGGAGAGGAGGGAGGAGGGGAGGAGGAGGAGGAGGAGGAGGTTGAGGATGAGGAGGAGGAGGAGGAGGAGGAGGAGGAGGAGGGAGGAGGAGGAGGAGGAGGAAGACGGGTCGCCTGAGCCCTTCGGAGAAACCCTCCATCCGTGACTTGCCACCCAGGCCCCCCAGCAAGCCTAGGCCGCCGCCGCCGCCCGTGCCGGCGCCCAGGGCGGCGGAGCCCAGCCCGGCGAACCCTAGCGTGGCTCCGCCGAGGCCGGGGCCGCCGGCCGCGGGGGCGGAGCGCAGCTGCTCCTCGACGCCGTGGACGAAGGGCTCCTCGGGGGCCCCTGAGATCCCAGGCGCCCTCGCGCTGCGATAAGAATCGCGGCGGGAGGTTTTTCGCTATCTTCGGCCTCTGGGAGCCCCCACCCGGCCTCGGGGCCGTCAGAAGACGGCGCAGGATGAAAAACCGGCTCTGGGGAATGGGTCGAGACCTCTGGGGGTCGACGTTACGAAAAAGTCATGACGTCGGGGGTCTGAGATCCTGGCGTCTAGTTTCCTCGAGCCAAACGTTTTCGCCCAGGCTCGGGCCCCGTGATCCTCACAGATCGATCCAGCAGAAAGCTGGGGCCCGTGGCTCGAGGCGTGCTTTCTTGTTTTCACATTGCTGCATTCGGTAAAGGCCTCCTAGATGGGGTCCGAGTAGATGGGGTTGGAGGATCGCGCCGCATCGCCCATACATCGCCGATGCCTCGGCGATGTATCGGCGACGTCGGCGATGCATCCGCGACGTTGGCGTGGAGAAAACTGAGCTCCACATCGAGCCGCATCGCCGATGCATCGCCGATGCATCGGCGATGCATCCGCGATGCGGCGCGATCCTCCGACCCCATCTGCTCCGACTCCATCCGGGAGGCCCAAGGTCCGACCTCTGGGGACCGCGGGGGGCCACGAGCCACCCAGGGGAGTCCCTGAGGGCCCTCCCCCCCTCGCGGCCACGAGGGCCATGGGGGCCCCGGGCCGAGGCCGCGAGAGCGACGAGCCCACCCCCGCGGGCGAAGGGCGCTCGCTCCGCCTCCTCCTGCTCCGCCTCCTCCTGCTT